CCAATCAAAAAAAACAAAAAAAAAAAAAAAAAACCCAAAAAAAACCACCACTCAATTCATATAAAAATAATAAGCAATTATATAATATATAATAAAAATAGTAATCATGAATAATAATATTCATATTAAAAATAATAATCAGGGGCTAGAGAGATAGCTCAGCAGTTAAGACAATTGGCTGCTCTTGCAAAGGACCTGGGTTAGAGTCCCAGCATTTATATGGTGGATAACAATCATCCTTAAGTCCAGTTCCAGGGGCTCTGACGCCCTCTTCTGTCCTCCATAGGCACTGCCTGACACGGGTGTACTTAACATATATGCAGGATATACTCATGCACATAAAATAAAAATAAATTTTTTAAAACTTAAAAAAATAAGTATACTATTTCTTCATGTGATTGCTTTACTGTAGATATCAGTTGAATACTAATCTTAGTGTATATTAGACTTTAGTTATCTTACACAGCAACACCACCTCCAAAACTCTCTGAAACAATCCATCATTATACCTTCCACTATGATCATAACTTCTGATTCAATCAATTGTGAAGCAATTACATTTATAACTATGTAGAGAATGTCAACAGCTAGCCAAAGAATATACTGTAGCTATCTCGCATTTATTATAATCTCAGTACTTAAGTTCAGCATCTTGTCTGGCCTTACTTGTATATCTATTTGTTACTTATTTTTTACAAATGTTTGACAAATTTGCCAAAAATTCTTAACATTTCCACACAATATCATGAAATAGCCTATCATTTCCATTTTCCTACACCTGCTACACATTCTTTAAATTCAATTGGCTGTCCCTTAACTTTATCACATAACTGCCTCCTTTCCATGTCTATTCAGTGTCATCTTGTTTGAAAGATCCTTTTCCCAAATCACCTTCTTCCAGTTTCTTGACTTAAGTAGTTTGCTGAAAGAAAGCACATGAGGGAAAAATTTGGGAGGACTTTCATGTCTGAAAAAGTATCTTAAGATTTTCCATTCAGTTTGAAAATCATTTTCCCTCGTAAGTCTAAGGATATTAATCTACTGCCTTCTACTACTGCTACTGAGATGCTTAATGCCATTCTTGATCTCAATTTGTTGTAACTTACTTTTCTTATTACATGTGTTGGCTTATGAATCCATCACCACAACCAAGATAAAAGGATCCTTTGTTGTTTTAATCTTTGATTTCTACATTAGAAGTTCTAAAAACTTTATGTTGATCCTCTACTGCATCTGTTATCCTAATCTGAAGTTTCTATCTCAACTCTTCAAGAAAAAAATGGCTATGAAGTTGAAAGGTAACATACAAAGGCAAAAGCAGCCACCCAACTGCATGGGTAGCAGAGAAGATCCAATTAAATATCATCTCATTACCAATCACTTTCAACCTCATTCTCTACCTTTGATTTCAGGGGTACTCTAGTCCAATCATTTTTCTGGGATTTAGGGGAAATATCATCTTGGGTTTTTTTGTTATTCCTCCTACAGTAAAGTAAATTCCAACTCTGCTCTGCTGTCATTTTTCTGATTCGTTCACCTTATAATTCTGAAAAATATCTCTTGCCAACTGTTGGATCCTTTCCTACCGCTTATCTGGACAGAGGTCTCAACTTTCCCTCATAAATCTGTTTTCTACATAACTCTGAGGCTGTCTTGTCTTTTTTTTTTCCCCCAAAATCATAATATGGCAGTTATCATGATATGATTTGGACAAAGTATTTCAATATCTAGCATAAATAGCGACTTGTGTTACACATCCTCCTGAGAAGTTTGACCTCTTCAAAAAGCAGATATACATAGGTCAACTATATTGCTTAATTCTTCATCTTGTATTCTGTACCATCGCTCACGTTAAACATTTTTCTTTCCTTACTTGTTCTCCAGGTTGTTGGAATCTGCACTGTGCAAAGATCATCTGCAGATTCATCTGCTGAACTGCCAATGAAGTCAAAGTTCAGGCAGTTGAGGACAAGTTTCAAGACCTGCATTACCAGATTTTGCTGATCTTGATCCTGGAGATTTAAAGGTTTGGCCAACACCTTCAAAAAGTCAGAAATAAAGTAAAACATTGGGAATAAATCCAAGATTTTCAATTTCATAAGTATACATACTACTTCAACACCACATGAAAATTAGTAAAAAGAAAAAAAAGTTTATAAAGTTAGATGGTTCCAAATATTAGGAAAATGGTAAAAATCTTTACCCACAAATTTCTATAATAACACTACTTTCAATTTTCATTTTGTAAAATGAGACTAAAAACACTTAACTACATACTGCAGGTCACCTAAAATTCTAAGAGGTAACATTAGAACAAATACTTTATATAGCATAACTACACACTAGTACAGGATGCATTAGCTCAAAGTTTGCTTTGAAAAAGCTGGGAACACAACTTTTTTCAAAACAATCAGGGATAACTCTCTGTATGGAAGAGACACATCTAGCTTATGAATGTTCCATGAACTCTGTGGGTTAGGAGACACAGAAGTTTCTGGAGAACAATCATGACCATTGAAAATACTGTTCATTTGCACACAATCAAAAACTTGAATCTTGAACACACATTATGAAATATGCAATTATGAGAAATGAAGAAGTTTAGGCTTTTCTAAGCATAACTCAGAAAGAACTAAGGTAGAAAGGATAGGAATTTATGTGAAAAGACTGGTCTTGAGTTGTACCTTTTAGTTGGCTGATGATTTCAAGAACATCGATTATACAATGTTATTTACCTTTGTAAATAATAAATTTTTCCACACTAGAAAAATATTTTTCAAATGAGAAGGTAATTTAATCACATCTACTATAGTGATTACCAAAGTTACTCTCAGTTTGAACAACCCTAATCCAAAAATTTGAAATTCAAGGTAATCAGTAATCCGAAACTTCTTGAGTACTCATGAAGATTTGAATTTTGATTTCAAATTTCAGATTTTGAGGATTTTCAATTCATAGTCTACGCAAATATTCTAAAACTCAAAACACTCCAAAATCTGAAACATTTCTAGTCTCAAGTATTTGAAATAAATGATACTCAACCTGTTCCAGAGAACTGAACAAGTAGAAAGCAGTGCTTAGTGAACCATGCTTTGAGACATGCTTTATACCACCAAATGACAAGCTGGAGTAGTGTGATAGAATCCCTCCATTATACAAAAGCATAATGTAGTCATGAACACGCAGTTCTTAAAGCTCCATAGTTAAGGGAATAACAAGGGGGCACGGGGGTAGTTCCGAAAGAAATAATTAAAATGATCTTGGCTAAACTTAAAAAAATGTTGACAGCTGATTGATAGGTAGGAATGTTGGAGAGAGCAGCGGGTGGGCGGCACGAGCGGATGGATGAGGCACTGAGGCACAGAGGGAATTCTCAGCGGGATACAGCTTTATTTCACATGGGGCACCTTTCCCTGGGGGAAGGGAAAGATGTCAGGGAAGGGAGAGATGAAGGGAAGGGAAGGGAAGGGAAGGGGAGGGGAGGGGAGGGGAAGGGAGGAGAGGGGAGGGAAGGGAAGGGAAAGATGTCAGGGAAGGGAAAGATGTCAGGGAAAGATGTCTGCCCACGGGTTGTGAGCTGGGACTTTATATATGGAGACTTTAGGGTGTGGAAGGGGGGAATGTTTGGGGGAGAAATCAGGGAGGGGGAAGCAGGTAGGATTAGGGTCTGAGGGTCTGGAAGTGTTTACTTTTTCTCTCTTAAGATAAGAGAAAATCTTGTTGTGATAAACAGCTTCTAAAATCTCTGGTTAACAGGTAGAATCTGCTTATCTTATCTTTGGAGATCAGAGGAGAGGCAGGCTGCTTCTCAGCTGAGTTTGTTTCCCTTGCCTCCAAAGGTCAAGGTGAGGTCCCTGTTGGGGAGGGGGGAAACTGCTGCTATTTGGAACCCTAACACTGATTACTTTGGAAAATGTACCATCATTGCATTTTTCACCTGTACCTCATCATACTATGGGTAGGTAGATAAAAAAATTAAAATTCTTGTCTAGAATAAGAAGCTGATGAAATGTCTGCCCCCAAACAAGTAGTAGGTTTTCTATGAATTTTATCTTCTACGCTTAGTGAGTAAAATTTTTTGGAATCTCTTACAAATTTGTACAAATTTACTGTACTTAAGACTGACCACAGAAGTCTTTTTAAGGTAAAACTGGAGGGAAACAATACACTGGAAATTCTTTCATAACACTTAAAATTTCCATAATACTCTAACTAGGAAATTGAATCATTAAATAACGTACCTCTTTTAGAAGAAAGCATGCTAATACTAATATGTCTTTGAGACAAGTGTCACGGAATGAGGTGGCTATTTTCCTGTGTTTTGCTGAAGGTCTAGAATAATCAACCTAAAAAGATCAAGATGATTTAGTTTAACCAAGCCTACAGAAAAGTAAAGCAAAAATGTACTATGTAAAGTAATGAAAGTACAGCTCTGAAAGAGCTTCTAAAAAGTTTCTAGGGTAAGTTACTTGCTCAAGATTATAGACCAGCACAGACAAGATAAGCACCTACATTTCTGAGCTGTTTTAATTTGGTATTCTTCCTACAAACCATACTGACCCCAAATTAAAAGGCAGGTGGTCATACTCTCAGCAGCAATACAGAAATACCTGCAAATTGAAAGGTACTCATGTTTTCTTCTAATTATTTTACTGTTAGTATATAAATTTCCATGAACTCCTAGATGGAATTTTATTTGGGAGCTGAGTAGGAATACTGAGACAGGTCTCCCTATAGCCACAGCTGACCTAGAATTTGCTATGTAGACCAGGCTGGCCTTGATCTCACTTTGATCGGCCTGCCTGTGCTTACCAAGTGCAGAGATTAAAAGCATGCATGGCCATGCCCACTTAGGTAGAATTATTTATATAATTTTTTCTCATTCACTTTATAATTTATACTGATCTTTCAAAATAAATTTCTTGTTTACGCTGTTTAAAATAAACACTGATTGTAAAATAACAGATACTTAGATTATTGACTTCTGAACTACATGCCATATTTCACATACTGTAAATTAACTCCCCTAATCCTTAAGTGCTACCTATAAAAGGAGAAATTTCTAAGATACTCTTTAAATTCTAATATTATGTGCATCAGCTTAATTAGCTACAAAAAATTCAATATGAATTTTTTTTCTTTTTGAAGCAGGGTTTCCCTGTAGCCCCAGCTTTCCTGGAACTCACTATGTAGACCAGGCTGGCCTTGAACTCAGAGATCCGCCTGCCTCTGCCTCCCAAGTGCTGGGATTAAAGGCGTGCACCACCACGCCCGGCTATGAAGATATTTTTATATATGTCATTATGCCAATGTTATCTACATATTAAATATATGTTATTTATGCTACTGGTATTCTGAGTTCCATGTCACTGGAATTCTGGAAAGAAGCAAAAGCAGAAACTGTAAATACTCACAAATATGATTTATTATTTACAAAACAACATGTTTTCTCTGATTATTTTATCAGATAACAGCAATTAATTTTTAAGGAATAAATTTCTAAGATTAGCTCTTGAGCCCCTAAGTTAAAATGTAAAAATGTTAAAAACTGTGCTACTGGGGGCTAGGAACATTTTACCTAACATCCATGAGATCCTGTGTTTGGTCCGTAGCACCCTCTTCCTTTAAAATATATATACTACAAATATTCAAATATTCTATATCCATTTATCAACAGGAAGCAAACAAAACTGAGTTCTGATATCTAAATGATCATTAACACTGTGGCCTAAAGTTGCTGTAGAATTACTATTTATCTCCTGTGTTATTTGAAAAGACAGAAAATAACCACTTTCCTTGCTAATGTTTAAAGGACTGAGAAAAACACAACAAAAAATAAAAGTGAGCTAAAAATTGATTACCTGATACTTCCTAAGCTCTAGTATACAATTTATATACTTAATGCTATATTTACTAAAAAAATATTAAATTAAATGTAATAAATCCAAAGTTACTACAGAAAGTAGCTGACAACATCTGTACCCAATGTATGACATGAATTAGCATTTCCAGCATTCTGTCCCTAAATCAAACATTTTTGTGGGCATGTATGTATGTGTGGTGTACATGCATGTATGTATGTGTATGGAGGCCTGAGGTTGATATTGGATGTAATCACTCTCCACATTATATATTGAGGGAGGGTCTCCTGCTAAACCTGGAGTATGCCTAGAGTCTGGCTAGGCAGCTTGCTCTGGAGCTTTTCTGTCTGCCTCCCATGCACTGGAATTATAGGAAGGCTGCCACACCCACCTGGCTTTAGGAGTTCTGGGGATAAGAACTGGGTCATTATACTTACATATCAAGTGCTTTACCCAATGAGTCATCCCCCTAGTAAATCAAACTTTAAAGTCCGCTTAATCTGCTTCTCTCAGCACATAAAAAAACTGTCTTTTTAATGCAAATCAGTAAGCACATAAAGTATTCCAAGGCCAGTTTAGAAAGCAGTCTTCACATATTCCATTTAATCCTAAAAAAAACAACTTCTGCACTACACCCTATCCTTTACCTCATCCCTAATATGGAGAAGTGCTTTCTATAAACTAGGGGTTGTGCTAGCAGTTTATCTGTTCTTCATAATATGTAAATAGGTATCATTCTCACTTTTCAAAGAAAAGCATAAAAATTAAATCTGTACAAAGGAATGAGCAATAGAGCTTAAACATAAATATCTTATCTGGTGTTTTCCTCAAGGCTTGCATGCTTATTTCATTTGGCTAACTCATGTAGATATCATGTTTTGAGAGACTGACTGCAAACTACTATATATCAAAAATTTAAGCCTGATGAGGAACAAGGTGTTTCAGAAGCTTAAAGTACCTCTCCACCGAATATTTATTAACTGCAAAGAGAAAAAGAATAAATCTCTAATCAGAAAGCTGGGTAGATAACAAGTTTAATTAAGAAATAAAAGAGCAGCTGAAGAAATGGCTCAGCAGTAAGAGTACTGGCTGCTCCTGCAAAGGACCTAGGTTTGGTTCCCAACACCCAGTTCCAAGGGATCTGATGCCCTCTTTTGGTCTTCGTGGACACTGCATGACAGGTATGCACTTATATACATGCAGGCAATGCACTCAGACACAAAAAATTTTTTAAAAGAAAAAAAAAGAAATAAAAGTGAACATCATTGGTCATAAGAGAACTCAAATCATGGGCTTCCTAGGAGACAGTACAACGGCTATAGCATCACTGCTGATGTTCCTTAAACATTATCTGAATTTAATAATGAGGAGATTCTGGACAATCTCAAAAGGAAAAATTTTACAAAACAACTGGCATATAATCTTCATGTTAGGTCATAAAGTGAAAAGACTGGCAACTTTTCCAGATTGAAAGAGACTAACAAAATATGATAACCAAATATGATGCAGGATTCTAAGCTGGCTTCTTTTGTGCTAAAGGAAATTTCGAGGCTAAGTGGAGAAATTTGAATGAGCTATGAGTACTAGCTAATACTAATATGTCACTTTAAAAAAATTTAATGGTATAGTGTAAAAAAACAAGAGGGAATCCTATTAGTCCAAAAACCTACTGAAAAATTACACATACAATATCTCTACATGTATCCATGTGCACAGCTCGGGGCTACATAACAAAAAACAGTGCCAGACAGGAGAAACCTCCCCCCCAGAGCTATACAGGCTATTGCCACAGTCCTTGATTGCCTCCCAGAACCTGACAAGACCCTATTGCTGAGGACAGAATGTACTTCAGAGACAGGATTTGGAACAATGAAGCTGGAAATGACCTGGCAGCCCCCTCCCCTGAAGGCTAGTTCTCATAGTTTCGGAGAGTACTATGCAAGCTGCTTCAGCCCAGCTTTAAAGGCTAATAACCACATCAATGACCAGCACAGTAAACAACATTGATGCAGTAGTGACACTTTTACCTTGGGGGTAATCAACAACTACCTAACTGGACTTAAAGGAAACTCATGTGTGGTACTGTAAACATAGCCAAATACACATGGCTACAGAGGTCACAGATCTTAGAGAAAACCCCAAGGCTGTCACATCCCTAGACAAATGTAATTTCTTACTATGTGTAAAATATAGATCCTTACATTTAAAGACAAGTATTCCAGTCACCACTTATCAAAGAAGCTTCTTTTGCAACAGACAGAGATTATTATAGAGTTCCACAGCTGGTCATAGACAGAGACTGTCTGTGAACTTCCCAAGTCTACATGACACATCTACAATGCAACTGCTACACCTAAGATTCACAAAACACAGTGAAGCAAGGAGTAGCAAGAACACTAATACATCTCTCAATCTCATCAATGAAGCTCCCTCATGAAACAGAGGGACATGAACACAAAAGGACACAAATGGCCAAAGCATAGAGAATAAGAGTCTGCAGAGTGTGGGTCTTTGAACAGGACTCCTACATTAAACTCCACTCACCCAGGGCTCAGGGACCATTGTGGAAGCTGGGGGGGGCGGGTGGAGCACCCCAGTAGAAAGATTGTAAGAGCCAGGGGAGGAGGTACATGTCCATATGGAAATAGAGTCTTACATGCTCTTGGGACCTTGCTCACATGAACCTACAACAATTGTGCCAGCATGCACAAGACCTATGCAAACTCAAACAGTCAAAAACCCTGAACAGAACTGTGGAAAAGGGCAGCAGGCCCCAATCTTAGCCAAAGAATCACTGGCAACTGATTACTGTTTTGAAAGGAAGAATTGTTCTTAAAGGGAGGGACTCTAGATAGGCTGACTAGACCACACTGGATGAACTTGCACTGAGGGTCATCTGGGGACACTAACACAAATGTGTTAGGTAGGCCTTAACACAAATGACAGAATGCATAAATTTCAGTGGAGAGGGGGCTATGGGAAGGCACTAGTGGGGAAGGGGGTATAAAGATGATTAAGATGTTCTGTATGAAATAATAAAAAATTTACTACTACTACTACTACTACTACTACTACTACTACTACTACTACTACTACTACTACTACTACTAATGGTAGCTAGGCATGGTGGTACATGCCTTTAATCCCAGCACTTGGGAAGCAGAGGCAGATGGATCTCTGTGAGATGGAGGCCAGCCTGGTCAAGTTCCAAGCCAGCTGGGACTATAGGGAAACCCTATCTCAAAAAGAAAAAGAAGAAAAAAGAAAGTAATGGTTATCATGATTATAGAGGAGAATGAATGTTCTTGTAGTAGGAAATGTTCTAAACTATTCCGTGGAGTGGGGGGATATGGGAAGGGGACCATGTTGTAAACAGCATCAAATGGTCAAGAAAGAATTTCTTTGTTCTGCCCTCTAAACATTACTGTAAGTTTCTTTTTTTGGACAGGTTTTTGTTCATTTTGCTTGCTTGGTTGGTTTGTTTT